GGGAAGGGGCGAGTGCTCTGGGGAGCAGGGACAGACACGGGGACACGCCGACACCTTTCCTATCGCCTACAAGGACCTACGGGGAGGGAAACAACTCACCGAGCTAATCGGACCGCTCAGAAATAGCCTACATCAACGCACCTTCTCGTTTTCAGTGAGAAACCCAGGTGGGGCAAATGCCAGCCCAGCACCGACAGCCACCAACCCCAGTGGGACCCCAGCTCCAGGCCTCGGCCGGCCACCAGCTCGCCCCTGGAAGGCTCTTTTCCGTATTAGTGTTGCAAATGTAGCAGCTATTTTGGCTACCGAAGAGGAGAAGTCACGGCCAAAGGCTAAGTGCTTTGTTATCTGGACAGGTAAAGCCGCAGCAGGCGCTAGCACTAGACATTTAACTATGAACTACAAGTCTTCAACTCATGCCGTACACGTCTGCGTGTAACCTACACCAAGTTGTAAACGTGATGCCTTGCCGCTTTGAGACACACCGCAGGATCTAGGCTGTAAGGCGTGCGTCCCCCCAGGCACACCCAGGCAGGTTTCTCACGCTACGGGAGATGTTTTCGGGTGCTGCACCACCACATCCCCCGGAGCGCAGGCAGCCTCATCCCGCCCTCCCATGCTGAGGATTTGCAGCTCCAGGCTGGCAGAACCATGGCACAAGTGTCTTGAGCAACCACAGCCATAGCTGGCTGGTATTCAAGCCTTTCGCAGCATGGCAGCACATCGAAGCCCATCAGAAATGTGTAACAAAGTCAACGTCTGAACTGGGAATGCTCTGCAGGAAGAGCGATCTCACCTGCCTGCGCTAAGCTATGCAGTTACTGGTAATTCAGTGTCCTGGACACACTGCTCTTAATTACTGGTTTTAGCTTGGACTACAGCCAGATTACACCCCAGATGAATTACCTTATGGTACAGTGTATGCTAGTTAACGTATAACTGTCTTTCCACCTTTATACCTCCCTCCCTCCCACCCACCCAAACTGGAAAAAGACAAGAGTATGAACTCATGGCCTCTGTAGTTTTATGTATACCAGACCTCATCTTAACTCTCCCAGTTTCATACTCTGATTGCTACCCCTATTACCACGCATTAATTGATCTGAAAACTGCCAGGCAGCCTCTCTGGAACATCCCAGCCTCAGTCAAGAGCTGTACCAGAACCCAAATTCCCATCTTGTAGCGCATCATGCTACCACATCCACCTGCAATGCAAGGGGCTGACAGCAGGCTTGGTTGCCAGTCAAATCCATGAACACTACAGTACACTATGTTCTGAGGTTAAAGGCAAACCAATCATTTCCTTTGTGAAAACAGATCTATCACCTTGGCTAAGCAAGCTACATATGCTGGAGTGGTAGGGTTGGATGCCCCAATCTCCAACAGCTGAGGTATCCTATGAGGAAGCAGAAAATCAAAAGAAAGCATTGGGCTGCTGCCAGTATTTTACCAGTAACGCAGCAGACATGGCCACCTCTTAAAATGTTTGTTCAGGATGGGCATAGCTCTGTGCGATAAAGAATTTGTTCGCTATTGAGTATGTAACATCAGGTTTGTGGGCTGACATTGAAGGAAAAACAATACGGGTTCTTTTCTGTTGGTAAAACCGAATTCAGCCCGGTGTAGTGCAAATCTGGAGAGAGCAAGATCTTTCTCTGTGCTGAAACACGTGCTGCAAGTTAAACTAGCCTGTGGCGTTGTGGGGAAGCAGAGCGGTAGTTAGTGGGCACTACGACAAGAGGAGAGAGAACAAACCATCCCAAACCATGGCACCCTCAGCCACCTGCTCGCGGCCCGGCTGGGGCCCGTGGCACACACCCACACATCACAAAAGAGCTCTCGCAGAACGCTTCACTAGGTGCTTTCCTCGCTGTGACAGCCCGTCCTGTGGCCAGCCGTCGGGGCGCAAGCATTGGGAGCGTTTATGGGAGCACTGGACCGAGGCTGAGCTCCACATGATGGGTGAGCCAGACGACCCCAGAGGTATGATCACTTTCCTCGCTGGGCCGGATTAGACCGGTGAGGATTTTAAAGTCGTGCTTCATCTTGAAACTCACGGTCACTTCACCCTCTTCTTTCTGTGGGGTGACCTTGATGAAAACTCCTACCTTATTGGCTTTTCTGAAGGCAATAACACTGCAAGGCAGAAAACAAAAGAATGCTGGGTCAGCCAAGTTCTCAAACAATTGTTCTGAGAGATTTATTCTGACACCACATAAGACGGATGCTCAGTTTACGTCCCGTGGGCTGAATATGCCCTGCTGGAAGAGCTACCCTGCTTTGAAGCTTACTCCCTGCTGCTCTTTTTGCAGGGGGCCCACAGCCACCCCTGCCTCACATCAGAACGTGGGTGCCCCCCTTTATGCTGACAGCTGCTGGCACATCTGTCAAACAGAACACGCCTGCTTCGGCCCCGGGAGTTATGTACCCAGCTGTGCAACAGGGAAGGGCCATGGTGTACAGCTCAAGTTGCTCTGTAAGAGGCTGCAGAACCTATTCCATTTTGAAGGCTGCAGGCAACTCTGTCACACACCCTACTGTGTCGTTCTCACTGCTACCGTGAACCCCCTCCTTACAAAGGAAAGGATTACAGAATATTCCTGGAGAGAATTACTACCACCACGTATAACTCAACTGCTGCAACAGCACACCTTGCCTCAAAAGGAACAAATGTCTCCTGTATAGTCCAAACCACAAGCAGAAAGATTTGCATTGCTGATCTCTGACTCCCCCAAAAAACACCATCCCCCCAAAGAAAATCTGAAAAAAAAAAACCCAAACATGCTGAAGACATAGAGTAGAGTGAGTTACTTGGTTGAAGTGCCAAGTTTTTAAGAGACAGGATCCCCACAGGACAGATAACACTCACTCAGGGTCATCCTGGAAGTCCTGAGGCTCTGCCAGCTCATCATATTCTGCCGCAGCATCTTTGCCAGCCAGAATAAGCTCCTTCGGAGGAACTGCCACCTGAAACAGAACACGAAGAGAAGCAGCCTTTCAGCACCGATGATCGCCTGCACTGCGAGCAGGAGAGAGCCCTCCCCTTCTGAGGGCTGCTTTACTATAGTTTAACAGAAATGTGATTCATCCTCAGCTTTCCTCCACTCTGGTACCAGCTGGTTACAAGTGAAATCATGTATTTCTCCCTTGGTTGGGTCCTGGATCTCAATAGACACAATTTCAAAATACTTTATGAGCTGATGTTTACATTGGTGACAGTCATTTAAGCTCCGAGGAGGAAAATGCAACGCAGTCAGCAGGGACTGAAGGACGTGTGAAAAGTGTGACCTGTGAAAGGGAGCAGAAAGCCTTGGAAGAGGCCTGGGCTCGCACAGGAGGGTACAATACCTTGGCAGTGCTGTTGATGTTGTCAGGGTCTCCCTCCTCGCACTCCAGCAGCGTGACATGTGTGATGTTCTCCACTGGATTGGTCAGAGTCAGAAGGACTTGGCTCTCCTGGGGAGATTCAGGAATCACAGTTCAAGAAGCAATTACTCTAAAATTCATCGTTACTGTTAGCACCTCCATCTTCCGTGACTGATCAACACCTACAAAAATTGCATCACCTATCCATCCCACCAAGGGATGGATAACGAACACCTCCAGTCCATAAGAAAGGTGTCAATGCCATGCAGCACTCTTTCTTAATATAAGAAATATGTATCTTTGGAATCTAGCCAAGATCTCAACTCCACACCTTTTTTTCTTCAGATATTGGCATGTGCTTGTGATGCCAGAGGTCACGCTGCACGGTAATCTACTCCTGCAGAGTGACAAGTACGCGCAGTGTTATTCTGACCACTCCCTTAAACACTGCACCCTCTCTAAACAGAGTGAGCGAAGCCCTCAGGGAACAATCATCACACCTTGTCATCTTCCAAAAAGATCCCACATCCACACCTCCCAGCTGTGTCTCACCCTAAGACATTTCTGGAAAAAAACTACTGACCTTCATGTAGCGCAGGTTGGGAATAGACATGATTCTCACTTCAGGCATATAGTTACTACAACAAGAACAAAGAAAATGACCATGACGGACTGTGCTGCTGTCTATAACCTACCTCTTGAAGTAGAGGGATGTATTCACAGACACCCATCTAACTCATTCAATGCTATTAGAGCTTAGCTGACATTAAAAAGAAAAATGAAGTGCCCTTTTGTTATTTAAGCCTAATCCTACAAACTCCTGCTACCGTGTGGGGGCTGGCACAGCATGCAGTGCCTTTTTCAAACTGCTAAAATCTTCAGCAAACTTTTTAGTAGATCAGAAAGCAAACCTATTACAGATAAGCTAAACAGATTTAAAAAGGCGATTACACCATCCTAAGAGATGACACAACCATACAAGAGGTCAAATCAAGAGTACAAAAGAAATGAAAACAGAAGGCATTAACTAAGTATTGATAGGCATTGTTCTCCCCAACCCCCATATCTTACTTACACAGCAACCAGCTGGATCTTGAATTTGATAGACGTTGGATTGAATTCTGGTTTGCTCAGGTTATGTTCACATACCTAGACACAAACGTATTTTAGTCAGCACCAAGAGACAGCGTCCAGTCACACACCAAAGAATCAGGGCTGCAAGCACAGTGGCACTGGCCACGACATTACCAGTCTCCAGTGCAGCACATATAAAAACTACCTTGGGATGCGTGTAGCCATAGCTGCGTCAAGTAACTGATACTCTGAAAATATCATATCCAGCACTATCAGTGCAATCTCATAAACACGAGATTTGGAACCAGGCTTAAAAACAGTTGGACAGTCGCTGACTGCAGCAGGAAGAAGGCACAAATACCTGCAAGCCCTCTGACTTACTGTGGCGGGTTTGACCTTG